CGCTCCGCATAGCGCCCATGACACCCTCTGCCTGCCTTTCTCCAACCGTACGGACCGGGACTCTCACCTCTCAGCGCCAACAACACCTCGGAATCCGCCGTTCCCCCCTCCAAGCCCACCAGCGCTCCATACAGCACCCTTTTCCAGCAGCACCACGATGTTCGCCACGTGCAGCCTCACGTCGGCATCCAGGTTCCTGGCGCTCTGTCTAAGCGTCTACATACCCCCGGCAATGCACTGCCACCACGCTCCCTCCCTCATGGCCTCACGATCGTTAGATTAGATAAGGATCACCCCACAGTAGTTAGTACGACATACACCCCTCTGACTCGTGCCTAGTACTTAAGCCCTCAAGCCTCTGGTCGTGCCAAATACGTACAAATAGCTACATGGTCTGTGCACCGGTCTACAGGTATATAGAGTAGAGCCCTTTAGCCCCTAGTCCCCATCTCGACCTCTTACGTCACTGGGGACTAGGTGAGTTACTATCTGTATCTTCGTACTTGTCAATATACTTACGTCACTGGGGACTAGCCTGTGCCTGCGTGCCGCTACGTCTTGCTGGTAGGTTTGTGCCTCCGTGCCGCCCCGGCCCTTTCGACCCTGGGTTCGGTTCCCTGGTACGTCGGTGCCGTACCGTGCGAGACCCCTCTGTCCGCACCGTCGCCCGCCCTCTGCCTTGTATATTCCCTCTCTCTCCCTCTCCTCCTACGTCTTCAGTCTTACGCTATGCTCGACTCGGCGCCGATCGCTGAGCCTCGGGCCGTCGCGCCTAGTCTCCGCGACAACCAGCTCGCTCGCAAGTACGCGCTGTTGGCTCCGAAAGGCAAGGCGACCGCTTTGAACATATTGGAGGTGGCTCGCTGGCACGGGAACCAGGACTCCGAAATGCGTACGAGCCTCGACCACAAAGAGCGTGTCACCTGGATGAAGCATAATTGGGAGAAACACGCGCCTCCTCCGGGAGGCCACTCGATGTGGAGTCCCACTGCCCTCGTCATGGAGGAATATGTGAGGTCGCACGCGAGTCCTCATATCATGGACACCGTCCCTGAGAATGGAGTGATTTTGCCGCCCTCGCCCCCCTCCTTCGTGGATACGCGCTCCCCTACCCCCAGCCCTTATTCCTGGAACACCCCTCGCCACTCTTTAGAGGCTGCTATCAGTCGCAAACGGGCCTCGTACGATGCGCAGGCGTCCTTCGGACCGCACGTCGATCACGGCGGAGGATCTATGGAGCTCGATTCTCGGCGGAGTAGCGACAATTACAAGAGCTCGAGGCATGGAGGCGGAGACTCGGCCTATAGCTCCTTGTACATCATCACTTCCAGAGGCGCCTCCCCGAACAGCAGCCGCAAGCGATTGCGAGATTTTGGTAGATGGCTAACCCCGCGCGGCAGCGATGAGGCACTTTCATCCACCTGCAGCTCGATTTGGAGACCGGTGGTCATAGCGCCTCAGACGATGGGGCTCACTTCGGGCATCAGAAGATGGCCACAGTACGACCGCATAGCCGGTCAGCCAGTCTCCACCAGCCTGTCTCCAGCCCGACTCTTTGGGCGAACGGCACGACACGTGCAGATACCTCAGATGTGTCTACGACCGTGACCCAAAGTAGCACTGTCTTTCCCACCCCCGCAGAGACACGACTTGAGGCTACACTGGTCCCTTTTAAGGCGCTGGCAACGTTGCCACGTCGTGGACGTAGGAGGTCGCTTCCTTCATCGAGTGACATCTTTGCGCGGGAAAGGGAGAGACATGGGCGTTTGGCGGATGAGCAGAAGGAGCGTGAAGAGTACGAAGTCCAAGCGCAGTAAGCAGTTGCTGGTGTCACAGCGAACGCGCGTTGTACGGTGCTGACGATCTACTAGAGTCCTGGAAGATACCATTTCCCAGAACTACTGTATGCACCACCTTTTACGACGTGTCTGTACGAGCGTCCGGGAGTACGACTCTGTGCAGGCGGGCTATCCGCCATCCTCGGGATGCCGTATTTCAAGATACCTCCTGATGTCCTCCACGATTTCCTCCACGATCCCTCTGTGGTCACGGGTAAAACGTGGCGAGCGCTGAGATGAAGACCTCGCACGTAAGGCCGAGGGAGTCTCCGTCGTTCTGAAGCAATTCGAGCATCCAGGCTGGCGCCAAGAAGGATTACAACGAAGCGTTGGCCCATACGTCGTTGGTATACCCTGAGGTACGTCGGCCATCATCACTTCCGCATGATATCGTTGCTGACGTC